AGAATCTCTCTCTCTCTCTCTCTCTCTCTCTCTCTCTCTCTATATATATATATATATATATATATATATATATATATATTTGATATAGATCTGGTGTGGTGGACATTTCGAGCGAGATGGAACTATAAAGAAGAAAACATAACAAGAAGAGGGTGAACTAAAATAAGAGAATAGCATTTACAAACTAATTCCAAGCTGTCATTGATAAAACCTATTAAGATGACTTGTGAGATGTTTACGGCTCAAAGTCTGGTACAAGAATTCTCTTCCATAAGCTAAACTTTTATTAGAACTGCCATTATGCCTATGTTAATAGGAACAGTTGTATGTTTCTCCTCTTCTTCCTTTGCAACAGCCACTTGTGTAAGAATAAAAATCTCTTTGGATAATGCTCATGGTTCCAACAAATTTCTTGGGAAGTGTAAAACATACTCACATGTGGCAAACCTAGCTTGTCTTTGCGGTTGTGCTACATAGTAACTTCCAGAATAATGCACCTATAAGTGATTGCTAGTTGGTTCTCTAGGTAGTTTAGTCTTGAGTTTTTTTCCTCTATCCCTTTTGGGCATCCTGGTTGGTTTTTTCTCGATGATTCATCAGTATAGTGGAGAGATGGTGCTTGGACTTAGTTATGTTCTGTAGGAGCCTAAATCCCCGGTTAGAGGGAGGTAAAACCATGTTACATTGGTCAATTCTCAGTTTACATAAATAAGATGATCTTATTCTCAATTGTCTACGACAAGATATGAAAAATCATCCTTTGCAAACACGAGCTGTCTAGCTAGCCCTAAAAGATTTTCTTGGTTTTGTTGTGCACAACATTTTAAAAACCCTCCGCCTAGCCTGCCTAGGCATATGCCTAGGCCTAGGAGGTACTTTGCTTGCCTACCTAGCGCCTAGCGCCTAGATAGTATCTAGGTTGCCCACCTAGGTTTTTGGAGCGCCTAGGTGGTTTGCCTACATGGATTGCACTTTTTAAGCATTGATCATGATTTCCTTCATTGTAGCCTCCACGTCCTTCAACCTCCTCAAACTATGAACATCTCCTCTACCTCTCTCCACATCAGAAAGACCTCCACTACCACTTAATAAATCTATTAAGTGTCAGTCTAGCTCCTAAGCTTTCCATCACATTGGCATTGACTATCAGAAATTATAATTAAAAATTAAAAAAATAGGAAAACATATAGGGCCTGCCTAGGCTCTAGGCATCATATCCAACGCCTAGGCTACCTAGCACTTTCAGTAACTTTGTTGTGCATGAGATTTTTCTTCAAACTATCCATACATTTGTACGCTCTATTATGTTGTTACCATTAATCAATGATGGCTGATAGCATTCTTAGGGTCTGAAGAGTCTTTCATGTACAGATTAATGAAATTGGTCACATTGCCCTACAAATAGCCTTTTCTCATATTCACCCTGATGTGGTGTATATCACATTGGCATTGACTATCAGAAATTATAATTAAAAATTAAAAAAATAGGAAAACATATAGGGCCCGCCTAGGCTCTAGGCATCATATCCAACGCCTAGGCTACCTAGCACTTTCAGTAACTTTGTTGTGCATGAGATTTTTCTTCAAACTATCCATACATTTGTACGCTCTATTATGTTGTTACCATTAATCAATGATGGCTGATAGCTTCTTAGGGTCTGAAGAGTCTTTCATGTACAGATTAATGAAATTGGTCACATTGCCCTACAAATAGCCTTTTCTCATATTCACCCTGATGTGGTGTATATTCCCTCTGGTATACAATATTATAAATCTAACTTCCCTGGACTGTTCTTTTGCGTTCAGAATTTATTATTGATCTTCTATGGCTGTCATTAGATAATTTCTTTTGTGTGATTGTAATGTAGTTACAAGAACCTTGGGACAAGTCTTGGTTGGAGGCACTCTAAGGTCTGTTTTTTTTGTCTGACTTTTTTGCAGCCAGAGTCAACATTACAGGTTCGCATATGGGTAGGGTTGATTTGGGTAATCGGATATGATTTTGAAAATCCTATGTCTGGATAAGTCATGGTCCTCATGGATGGGGAACTAATAAAACTGAATCAGCATGTGAATTACTATTATTTATCTGAACTTGGCTTTATAGGTTAAGCTTAAGTGTTTTAGAAGACCTCTGAGACCTTCTATTGATACTGACATTGATAAAAACCAATCTGTGCCACATAACTGGCAACTTTTTAGGTTATGCTTAAGTCTTTTGAATTACAGAGGCCTTCTATTGTCACTGGCATTGAGCAAAACAATAACCTTTATGGTTCGATATGTTTTCTTTCATTACGAAGATTAGTGCACTTATACTTGCTTTGCAATATGTCTTGATATATCATGATATTTGGTTGCTTTCATGTGCTCTTCTATACGTTAAATTTCATGTAAATTGTAGAGACCTTTTAGCTAGTATACGGCTTCTGAGTAAGTTTGAGTCATGTCTGATGTTTCCTTTATAAGAGAGGTGTATGAAGAATTCATAGATTCTACCTAAATCATTCAGGCATGTAAAATTACAGTTATTTTGGCATAAGCTTTCTATGTCAGAAGTTTCTCCAAGACTATCATGTCTCCATGAACTCTACTAAAACTTGCTACTGTAAGATATTGGACTTTGTGGATAGTTTTTGGAAGCAAGAGAAAACTTTTCATGCATTTTTTACTCTTCTCAACCCCCTGTTGATTTTCAAAAATATTTCCATCTAACTATTACATAGAGTGTTGGAAGTGGCTAAAATAAAAATGTTGATCATATATGTGGCTTTGCAAGCATAACAAGAACATACACATAAGTTATTTATCTAGAATCTTCTGTTGAAGTCCTAAATCAGGCTTATATAAAAAGTGACACAACACAATCTATAAGGTTTCTAAATACTAAGTAAACAAATTTGACGCAATGCAAATTCAAGTTAACATTAAAATCAACAAAATTAAAATTATAAATGATAAAATTTATAAATCGACAACTAATAGTTTAAATGATAACATGACCTATATTGATGAGAGTACAATTTAAGTCATATCTGAGGCATGTAAGAGTCATGCTCCACTCACAGTTTTCAACAAATTCTGGACATTTGAATTGAAGTCCTCTGAGCTAGAATCAAGAAGGGAATTCTTACAAAATTATAAACATAGATTACTAGTCCTGATTAGCCAAAGGACGAATGATGTTGAAATTGGAAAATGTTGGATGTAGACAGTAGGCAATTGGATTGACAATTGTTTGTTGTGGAAGAAGTTGGAGTTGGGGCTGGTTCTGTAGAACGCTAGCTTCGTTGGAAGGTGAGTATATGAGATGAGGTTCATCATAGATGAAGTGGTTGTCAGAGAAGTGATGACAAATGATCCGGAGTTGATATTAGAGTTTTGGTGTGCAATCAAACAACAGTTGTGTTCGAAGGATCGGGTTGTGATTTTTTGGCAAGAGGTGGAGGTGGTGAAAAATGGTTGAGTGATCGGCGATGAAAGGAGGCTGGATGGAGGTGGATGATGTGGAGAACTAGAGGAGAGCCGATGCTTTGTTGGGTTCTCGCGATGAAGACAAAGTCTGTTTTGTTTCTTTGCTAGCATGAGAGAGGAAAAGGGCGGTTAAACTATCAATAATTGATTGATAAACTAATAACATGGCAATCTTAAATCTTAACTAGATAAAAAGGTGAGACTGTTTTCGTGTAGTTTATTTAGAAGAGGTGGAGAGTTTTGATTTGATACAAGGTAAAACGAAATTAAACGAAAGAAGAAAATGTCAGACTCACTTTCAGCACCTAATATGAAAATAAAGGCTTCGCGCCTAAGAGGATTCATTCCAATTTCTCTAACTCCAATCTTTATTCATATCAAATCTCAATATATCATTACAATGCAAATTATAAACCCCTATTTGAAATTCTATCTCTACTAACTTTGAAATCCAAATCTGTAATTCAAAGTACAAAAGGTTCAGAGTTTGCATTAGCTTGAGCATTCTGTCTAGGAAGGATATGAAGAAGACATGTATAACACATTTGTATGTAATAAGGAAGGTTTAAAAGGTGTATGTGATAAGAGTCATGGAAAAGGGTTACTCGTCAAACGGATACAAGAGTAGGTGCAAGGCAAGGTTGCGGGTGAATCGAATAGATAGAAATGCATGGTTGGTCATGAAATTTGTGAGTGAACACATAAATCATTAGTTAACTAGCCCAAAC